ATCAGCGCATGCGGCGCGTGAAGCGTTTTTGCTGTCCGTGGGGGAAGTGCTGCTCAGGTCTATTGCCCCGGCTCTCTTCGGAATGACGGAAGTTAAGCGCGCCTGCGCCTGTCTTCTTTTTGGGGGCACTGCAAAAATCATCAACGATACTACGCGCATCAGAGGGTCCGTAATGCTCGAGCCAAGCGACATAACGCTACCATGCAGCTACCCTAGGGCACGGCTGCTCGCCGCTCGTTCTAGCCTATCACCTTAACGAACTGCTACTGCGAACGCCGAGCACAACACTGCAGCAGCCGGAGCAGAGCTTGCTGTAGCGGCGGCTGGTGCTGCTGCTGCAGTGTTTCGCTACTGAGCAAACGTGAAAACTTGATCGGGGAAGTGCCTGTGGGGCTCGTCGTGTGGTTTGTTGCAGCGACATAAATGTCCTTCTGTTGGGAGACCCTTCTGTCGCGAAGAGCCAAGTGCTGAAGTTCGTGGCTAAGCTCGCCCCGATATCTGTGTACACCTCAGGTAATGCAGCAGCCGCCGCACGTGCTCTATGCATAGGCTTTCTCTCTCTCTCTCTCTCTCTCTCTCTATATATATATATATATATATATATATATAATGCGTATGTATATATGTATGTAAATGTATGCCTTAGAAGGCAACGGCCTGAAGCTGAAGTTGCAGCTGCAGGAGTCGCGAAACAGTGTCTTCCTTCCGTTCGATTGTGATGGCTTTCTTGCTTGAAAAGAGCTTTCTTAAACTCTATGCATGTCTGTTGAGCAATTGTTCTCGAGTGTCTCTGGCTGCTGGTGGTTTGTTGATAGGAAAGGGCAGCAGCGCAGCGGGTTTGACGGCCGCAGTGATGAGGGACCGCCAAGGAGTTTTCAGCTTGGAGGTTCGTGCGATATCTATACACTGGAATGTTACCTTAGGCTTGCGCTCTAGCGCTGCACTTCCTTTGCAGCTGCTGCGGGATCGCGTAGACAGTAGCTGTATCTTGCATGCGTTTCTGCTGCTGCTGCATCAGGGAGGCTGCATGTGCCTCGCTGACGGTGGCGTTGTGTGCGTGGACGAGTTCGATAAGATGCAAGAACGGGATGTGGTGGCGATGCACGAGGCGATGGAGCAGCAAACTATATCCATTTCAAAGGCAGGGATCAACACTGTCTTGAACTCCAGGTAGGTCTGGGTGCATGGATGCACCGCTGCTGCTGCACCTGCAGCAGCAGCCGCGTCAGCTTCAGCTTCCTCCTTTTGCACTGCGAAACGAAGTTAAGGCATCTTGAGGGACGTTGCTGCGCCGCTGATGCTCAGGTGCGCTGTGCTTGCTGCTGCCAATCCGTCTTTTGGGAGCTTCGATGATGCACAAGATACGACGGAGCAGCACGAGTTCAAAGCGACGATTCTTTCAAGGTAGGAGAAGCGACATATAAAGAGAAAGTAGACAAACAGACAGACAGACAGACAGACAGACAGACAGACAGACAGGTTGGTAGTGGGCAGACTCCGCTCGAGAAATTAAAGGCAGAAGCAGAGAAATGCAGCGACAAAGAAGATAAATGCAAAGACAGACGGAGACTAATACACGGACAAAAGGAGACGGACACAGAGACGAAAAACGGCACAAACAGAGATAGAACGAGGAAAACAGAGAGACGAAAGGAGACATATTAGGAAACAAAAGGAGGGTGTATATGCAGCATATGCAGGCGCACATCCTAAGTCGTAGTTATCTGTGTGGCGACCCTAAGTCGCCACACAGATAACTCCAGAGAGACTTAGATGAGTATACACGCACTGAAAGTTGATGGGTAAAGGCAGACTGAGACCAATCAACAACGAATTGAAAGCCCTGCGTTTGCTGCTGCGCCTGTGGAAAGCGGGCAGCGCGCAGCAACTGCAGATAATGTTGCGTCGTGAGTGCCGGCTTCCCGTTGTAGGTTTGACTTAATCTTCATGCTGCGAGACAAAGATGATTACGAAAAAGATTCGCGCTTGTGTGAACACATTCTCTCTCTCCACGCGGTGCGCCCCAATAACAACACCAATGAGAGCAGTAACAACAGCCCCGGCCCCCCCCTCCCCTCTATCCCGTCTTGTGTTTACTCAGCAGGCTCCCTGAGGAACACACTGCGAACCAGATTGATATTCCGTTACACCCACACTCTCTGCTGTCTCTTTGCTTGCGGAGAAGCTGCAATGGAGGCGTCAGCCCAGATGAATGCCGTCTTTATGAACACAGTCTTGTTTGTTGTATGTGAGGCTGAGACCGAAGCGAAGGCAGCTACTGCTTGTTTCTGTTGGTTTGCATCAGCGAAGAGCAGCGCCGCCGCCACAAGAGGACGGAGAGACGATCCCGTTCGAGGTGCTGCGGAGGTACATACAGTACGCACGGCAGCAACAACAACCCCTCCTCTCCCTCGACGCGAGGGACGCCCTGAAGAACTTCTATGTACAAACCAGGTGCGCTGCAGCGGCTCGTTTGCGTGTCTGTCTTTCTGTCTGTATGCCGCCGCTCGTTTGCCTCCTCGTGAAGAGTCACCCAACCCTACGCTCAACGGTGTCTTTTGCTCGCGTTTGTTGTGGAGGAAGCACCTGGTTGCGCGGCCTCGCTGGTGTCAGTGGCGTAGCAGCAGCACAGTGTACCAACGACAGCAGCCGTGCTGCGTGAGGTGCTGTTTAGGCAAGACGTCAGAGAAGACAGGCGCTCTGTGACGCGGAAGATTCCAGTCACTCTCCGTCAGCTGGAGTCGCTCGTGCGCATTGCAGAGAGGTGCGCATTCCCTGAATATGCATCAACACCATTGTGGCCTGGACCTCCCCAACCCAGAGTTATTGTAGATCCTTCGAGAATTTTTTATTTTCATGGAGAAGTTCTCTACTTCGTTGCGTAACTGCATGCATTGAGTTCGCCTCTACCAGGACATCCCCAAATCCGCGACTAAAAGCTCTTCACGGTTTGCTTTCTAGTGAAGAACGACACACTGAGGTGTATGTGCCTTTTTGCTTTCAGTTTCGCACGCATGGAGTTGGCGCCTGTGGCCCAGGCCTCCCACGTGAAGCGGGCCATTGACTTGTTCTCAGCGTCAACAGCAGAAACTGCGAAGCACGCCCTTGTGTTCGAGTCGCTCACTCCCCTGCAGCAGAAAGCCATTAAGGTGCGTTTCAGCAGCTGTACATGCAACAAAGGAGGCGCATCCCTATGGGGGGCTGCAAAGCTGACGTACACAAACGTGCTTTATGGTACAGATACTCTAGGATACCAAGTGCCACGCACGCATGCAAACAAATCCCGTGCAATATGAGTAAGCGTCAGTGTTCTGGTGCACCAATTTTGCTGCAGCTCGCAGAGGACGCGCTTATGAGTCGCCTACAGCCGGGGCAGCGTGCCCTTCGCCGCAACATCGTTCGCGACCTCCAGCAGCAGGGCTACGACAAACTGGTGGTGCAGCGGTGAGGCCTCTCCTCCGCACAAAAATGAGAGCACGGCCTCCCTGTAAAGCTGCAGTGTATCGACCGTCGCGTTGTGCGTGCGGCCAGCAGGAGCCCGCTCAGACATACACCCGTGAGAGCGCCCGTCTGCCTGCGCAGCATGCACTGTTTGCTGCTTTGTTTCTGTGCGGATGCTGGGTTTGAATATCAGGGCCATCTCAATTCTCGTGCGGCGAGGCGACCTCCAAGAAAGAGGAGATCGCTCCATCAGGAGGCCATGAGGAAGCAGAAGTATATTAAGAGACCCTATTTATATACCAGCGCCGGCGCCCGGCCTAGCAGGCGCTGGCGCGTAGAGCGCTGCTGCTCGCGCTTGACACCCGCAGGACTCAGGAGGGCCTGCCACTATCCCGCTGTACACATGCCCCAAAGGAGCTGCCGAATTCCCCTGGGCTACCTACCCTAGGCCTAGCCCCCTAAACCCTAGAGCTGTAGCGCGTCCGGACCGTCGCTTTGGCGAACTTATTTCTGTATAAAGTTTAAAGTGGATAGTGAGGCAACTCCAAGGAATGCAGTTACCCACTGAATTTAGCCCTGGTTGTTTATTCAACCAATGTTTACGCGTTCACGACTACAGAAGCCGCCCAGAGAGGGTAACAAAGGCCCCAGCAGCTCATGGCTGAGACAACAGAGGAGCGCCCGCCGGTTTCTCGCAGCTTTGAAAGGCCGCACGTATATATATATATATATATATATATATATAACCCAGCTGTTCGCCCTGCACTAGTAGCGTCCCTCTCCTCTGCCTCTACAAGCCTATTACGCGTTGGAAGAAGAAACGACAAAAAAAATATTCTCTCGCTGCTGATCCTCGAGACGCCCATCTACTCTGTCAGGTCCAAAGCGCGGTGGCGCGTACGCGCAGAGGCCGCCTCCTCCTCTGGCAATCTCTTCTTAAGCTCTGCAAAATATGCAAGTATAAACATATATATATATATATATATTTGCCTTTTTATATTTATGGCAGTAGTTATAAATAGTAGCTACCTAGCAGTAGCAACATAGGGGGCGCGGGTTTACTCTGTCAGACCTGCAAATCCCTCGCGTATTTCTGGGATTAGTCGTTCAAATGCGAGTACTTCGTCCATAGTGAACACCTCGAGCAGACTGCGAACAGCAGAAGACACATTGAGGTGTACGCGGAGACTAAAGAGGGTTGTTCTCCCCATTTGCTTATTGTGTTTGACGCTTGCAGTCATGCAAATTGCAGAAGACGCCCGCACTGACATTGCTGATGGGTCAGAAAAGAAGGAATGACGGAGGCTCACTGATGAGAGTGCCCCGTGGCGAAGGCGAGACACGGAACTGGCGTCCTTTTTATGGCCTCTGCAACGACACAAAACAGTTCAAAGATGCATTAATCTGCTCCGTTTCCTCTTTGCTCTCCCTTAATCCTACATGAGACCGCTGGAGTGCATGTGCTCGCTTTAAACACACAAGAAGAAACTGCACTTACTCTGCAGGTCCTCTGACCATGGAAGCCGCCCGTCGTAGAGAGGCACTGGGCTCTCCCGAAGCTCCCGCAGCCGCTGCTGCAGCGCAGGAGGCAATTTGTCGATGGAAAGACGGTCTATGTACCCCTGGCATACAAAGAGCAGCTTGTCGTAGCTATCGTGTAGCTGCAACACACAGAAAACAACCCCACTCAGCAACACGCACAATCTGTAGCTCTAGTTGAACCGACGAAGTGTCTCCAGAGATCCACACACTCCTCAAAATCAATCAAGTCAGGCTCATGCAGATATGCATGCTGATGTATACGCAACGACTACAACAAACTCACTGCACTCGCACAGGTTCACTTGAGAGGGGGCCTCAGGGAGCCACATAAAGATCTGCTCAAAGAGGAGACGGACTCATGTGCTGCCACAGCCAAACGGTTCTGCTGAAGCAATAGTACAACTCACCTTCTTCACAGGAGACCTCTTTCGCGGTGGATACTCGATGTGCACCGCACGCCGCCGGCCTCGCTGCAGCGTATCCCACCGCCAACCCCGCTGCCTCCATCCCCGTAGAACAGCAGACAAGAACATCCCTCAAAGCTTCACCGCCACGGCACGCGAATCCTAGACCGTCTACCTCTTCCAGCTCGACGCCAGCGATATCGGGTTGGGGGTGGGCGAAAGGACGGGGGAATTGAAGAGGCCCACTGGGTTAAAAGGATTAAGTGGGTGGGAGATTGTGAGAAGAAAAAATCATTGTAATAATTTACGAACCGAGAGAGTCCGTGGGAAATTGGTGGAAATCGAAATATACCCCCGAGAAACGGATCTCACCAGCGTGCAGCAAGAGGATAGGGAGAAAGCTACACTCGACCAAGCTGCACCAACAGAGTTTTATCTTCAAATTAACAACTGGAGACCTCTAAAAATGATAAAATGGCTAACTGAGATCAGGGGCCCTCCTTTTGGGTACTTAGGGCGGGGCCCCCTGGGGCCCCCAGGCTCCCTAGCGAGACACGCGGTTTAAGGAGATAACTGAAAACCTGAATCCGGCTGTTACTTCTTTAGAAAAAAATCGGTTGTTATTGCTTATGGTCTACGAATATCTTTTTACTCTCGATTCGTTTTCGAGTGTTTGCCTGCCGAGCAGAGGCAAGCGCTCTGTGTGCTTTGGCGGTGACGGCTCTTGAACGCGGTGCGTGTGAAACGTACAGAAAAAATGAAATGTTCGAAACGAAACCTTCAATTAGCAGCTGCCATTATTTTGTAGAGTACGGAAACATTTAGTTTTTTCAGTTTCCGTCGTCATTAAGACACGGTGTTCTAGCGCAAATCCTGGCTTGTGTTATTGGTATTGGTTGTAGGCTCTCATTTGATTCCCGATTGTGAACTCGTAGCATTCGTAGTTTAAATGCATTGTGTGGTTGTCTCGTACCTAGCCCGCTGTTCAGTCAACTTCGGTCCAACTCATTGGAGGCGCACCAGTCTCTATCTTCGCCGTCAATCTGAGAAGCATCCTCTTCTCTTTCTCACTGTCTTACTGTCTCAGTGTTTTGTTGTCAGTTTTTCTCATACAGAGTGAAGCCCATTTCAACAAACCCGGGGCACAGGGCAACGCTACACGCATACACAATTCAGTTTTCTCTGTGCAACCTGGCAACAAAATAAGTTTTCCTCTTACATTTCGCACTTACCATCAACATCAGAAATCTGAAACCAAGCGAAGACACAGAGTTTGGTGATTACCGTTTGTTGGCATGTTTTGCTGTTCGCTGTCCTTTTCACCGGGCAGCCCCCAGTTCAGATGTGTTGGCAAGGAGGGCGTTCAGACTCTTCAGCTCAAACGCATTTTGTGCTTTTCAGGAAGCCGAATGCTTCCGTTGCAACACCTGCAGCAGTAGTGTAGATCCGGGTATATTCGAGGTGCAGCTGCACTTTAAGGTGTTCAAGGAACACCGGAGCGAAGTCAAACTTGCGGTACAGATGGCGCCTCCATCAATTGCTTTAAAGAGCTGGCCGTTTGAGGGGAGGAGACCAGCAGAATACGCATGAAAACGACAGCAGTATGAGCGGCATCCAAGCCATGTCTTCTAAATTCTAAGCTCATGCTCGAAGCTGCGTGTACTGGTGAGGAGAAGGATGTGAATCTGTGAAAGCAAGTTAACACTGCACGGTGCGCACCCCAAGAAGCGGACCTTCTCAAGATAACAGCAACAAAATCCAACAAAATTTGGCGACGAACAGCAAGCACAACAGCATAATCACCCAGCCACCAGCTTTACTCCTTTAGTCACCTCACTACTCACCAGCTCCTTGCTTCGGAAGACTGGCGTCAATCGTGTCATTCTAGGTGTAGCAAATCGTGCAAGAACTACGGTTAACCTGATAACTGGGGCTGAGAAAGAGAGCTGGCCGCTCATGCATAGTCTGCTGAAGCTAGTTTCAGGAATGCAATATACGGATTACTTCCTTCTGAAACGACACAGAAAAGTTGGTTTCAAGTTCTTGAATATCTTGCCTCCATAACCCAAGGCAGAGCTAAGCCAGGTTAAACGGTAACCACAGACGGAACGCTAAATAGTGTTTCACTGTTGCGTCAAGGATGCTAAAAAACAGAAATAGAGCTCATGGAGCTCACGCCAGGTACCCTGTCTCACGGCTTGGCATGCTTATTTGGGCCCTCTTTGGAACTTGAGTCGAACCGCTTCCTTGTACTGCCCACTCCTCCTTGCAAAGAAAGTCTCTCCTTCCCAGTACTGACATAATGAACTCACTCTGAATTAACTCCCTCTGCATCCTTGTGGCCCTCCACCCCTCCTCACCTACCAGGCACCCACATAATTTTCTTCGTAATTTGCTTGCTCCCGAGTCCCTTAAAAACTTAGCGTGAAGGGATAGTCCTTGAAAAGAAAGGTACGGGGAAAGTTCCGCGAGGGTTCAAGCTGAATTCTGCACCACGAAGACCTGGAAGGTTGATGTCGTGGTTGGGGCAGCAACATGATGCGCCTTCAGCTCGCACCGCTACGCAAACCAAAAAATAAACAAGAACGTATCCCATGATGAGAACGTTTAGGGCCCTTCGGCGGGCCAGCTCGAAAGAACCAACGCTGCGTAAACGCAAGTACCCCAAGTGGATGACTGAGATGGAATGCCAACAAGCGACTGCACGGTTCTCTCAAGAAAGCACTCCCCCCCGCACGTACGCCAGCGAGGTTTTTGCTGCTGGATGCACGCATCCAATATTTTGAAATGCCTTCGACTTTCGCCCGCATGACGCGAGCAACGCCTCTTCCGAGCGAGCTGTAAATGATGCTACTCTAGCCGGTACTAGCCTTCAGCACAACGACCTTTGGTGTTTGCCATGAAATAAAACAGAGGAAACTCCACCCGTACGAGTGGCAGTGTATGTATGTGGGTAATTCACTGTGCACCTCCCCCAGTTGACGCAACTTCATCATATGCTGGCAATCGTCCAGGTACTCGCAGGAATGGAGTCCCTAGGGGTGGAGTCCCTAATGGGGGGGCAGAAGGCACAGTCGGACCCGAATAATTCTGCGGCACCGGAAAATATAGCTGATGATAAGGGGGTGGAAGTGGCGACCCGGGCTCTTGTATGAAATGCCCCTCTGCATACGACGGGCTCGGAAGTGGCGCTCCCATAGCCTCGAATGTCCCCTGTTGTCCACCGTGATGATGAGCAAAGGATTCAGCAGCCATTTGCTGCTGCTGCCGAATCCACTCTCGGTGGCGCCTGACAGCTTCTTCCAACCTCTGCGTCCCGCCTTCCCTACGCGGCTCCCTCTTAATCTCTGAGTCTCCACCGCCACTGCTTCCTGAGCCCCTTGGGGCTTCCTTCCCATCCCTGCCCCGCCGCCGGCGGTGCTGACTCGCTCCACTGCTGCCCATGTCATGATTTACCTTTAACAGAGGAGGAGTGAGAGCAATGGCGGTTAGCACTGTAGAAAGAGTCAGGAACAGCGACAAGAAGAAGGCCAAACGCGCTTGCTTACGGAATTTGTCACTGTGTGAGGACCCTTCCAGCCCCGCCGCATAGACAGGGGTAATATACTTTTCCTGACCAGGGCTTCCTTCCAGCGCAGCTAACTGCTTTTCTCTCTCAATTTCTTCCGTGTCGAAATCTCTAGGATACGCACGCAAGACTCCCTCTAGATTGCCCTGTGCTTCCAACAGAGCGCTGTCCAGCTCTCTTGCTCTCTCCAACAGATTCTCGCGAGCTGGCTCCAACACCTCTGCTGCTCCGCGATTCTGGGGAGCATCCAGATACACCAGTCCTCGTACAAGTGAGGGAGCAAGTCGGTTTAGTGCGGTGATCATCAGCTCCGAGTCGCCTTGCAAAGCGATATCGGATAGAAGCTCCTCTATCTCCCTAACCAAACTCACGAAAGCCAACAACAAAAACTTGGACAATGTCATCCCCGGGTTAGCAGAGCCCTCAGCAGCCGCCAGGACGCCAGCAAGTCTGGAAGTCAAAGCCTCAATACGCCTCTCGAACGGGTCTTCTGACTTCTTCTTCTTCGATTTCCCATTCTTCTTCTTCTTCTTAGAGTGCTTGGCGGTCCCCCGAGTTTCGCTGTTCAGCCCCAGGAAGCGAGTCCTGAGTCGTGCCAGGGCGAGACAGAGATGACGCATCAGCGCCGAGCGCAACTGGGGGTTAGAGCTCTGCAAAAGTGTAGCTAGAGACAGCAGCGAGCTTCCAGGGTATCTTGAATGAGGAGGTTCATACTCGGGCAAGGATGTAGAGGAAGAATACTGTTCTGCCGACGCTGTCACCCCGCCTCTCCCATCTAGAGTTTCCTGTTGTGCAAACCAGTCAGATCCTGCGTATGTGATGGTCTCATCGAACTTCAGAGGAGAAGATGCGCTACCGTAACTAGGCAGCACCTCCGCCGTTTCAAAGGCTCCCCGTTGCTGAAGAGCTTCAACATCCCGGTTATGACGTTCGTGCCAGCCTGCCTCAGCCCGTTGAGGGCTATGCAAAAGCGCTGCCCCGAAGAGAGCTGAGCCTACCCAGAACATCGTGCCGACCCTCACTACGCGAAGGAAGGCACCGTTCGTGCACATGGGTTTTGATGGGGGACTTCGCGTCATGCGCTCTCAGACAAGACATAAACGTGTCTGCATGCTCTTAAAGAGTTATGGAACTTGAAAAGCAGCCCGCAGCACTCCAAAAGCCAAGAAGAGACTCCGTCAAAGCAAAAAAGGCAAAGGAGCGCCGAGAGCCCCAACAACTTCCCAGGATGGGCGGAGCAACAAGACCACCAAATGCTACAAAAAAGGGTCAAAGTTCCCCTTCTGGTGCTACCATAGTGTTAAGAATTAATAAAAAAGGAAAATTCACGTACTCATTCTAGTGAATGGCATGGTGAAGCCCAATGGTCCAGCCGAAGCAACTCGAGACCGAGCGGGCGAGCGGTGGAGGCTCGTTCAGCTTTCGTGGAGCGGCTTCCGTACAGAACCCCCAAAGGGCATCAAGTTCATTAACACCAACTGAAAGGGTTTAAAAGCATTTATCTAAACAGAAATAAGTAGTTGTCTGAAATTTTGTGCGGAAGGATTGGGATTCCTCCATCTGAAATTTCGAATGTGCATGGCATGACGAGTCTCGCTTTAATTAAGATTGCCCGTAGGCAGGCTTACCGATTGTTTTAGCAACTAATTCACCATTATTAATATACCCTCGAATTATGCCTTGGTTTTGTTCTAGTGCTTGCTTGTTTCTGGTCACTCCGTTGCTGCAACTACGGGCTGGCAGCTAACTGTAGGTATGAGTAACAAAGCTTTCCTTACAATGAAAGCACAAGCTTTCTATAATTAATTAAGTACTTATAGTCGTTGATACCTGAGCCCCACTTTGTCCCATTAGCGAAATTTTCCCTGAAGGGCCCCTCATTCAGTACCCACATGGGGGTGTGAGGCGACGCTGCTCCCATCAGGTTGAGTGCGGTATTGAACCCTTTCCAATGGATACGCTGGGTGACAATTTACAAGGATATCGCTTAGGCTTCCATAGTATCCAATGTAGGGGCGGACTGGGCTCCTGGACCGTCGTACTTGAGGATCCTCCGACGTGAGCTCATCTGGACAATCCTGACCTGCAGCATACGCAAAATGTTAGGGTGATATTCTTCGGAAGCGCGGATGATTCCTCATCTTTTTGCCTCCAGGCGCACTGGGGCAGGTTGAGAAAAGCGGTAGTCTGTTCAGACGCGGAGCAATTGAGGCCAAAAATCCTGCTACGGAAAACAGCAGTTGAAGAAATACTTAAGGGGTCCTCAGTACATGCACTGACACAGATGCTCTGCACCTCTACTTCACAGTAATCAACAACTCAACATGCACACAAATAGAAAGGCTCGGATCAACTTCAGAAAGGCTATGCCATAGTACCTGTGCAGCTTCTGGAGATAAATTGGGTAGTCAACTAAGAAATATTAAATTGACGGATCTCCTCATTTATCTATTCCGCCTGCGCATGGAAGTGTGTGCAAGGCACAGGTAACTCTTGGACAACCATGGGCTGTGGCTATTTGATCAAACAGATCCCCCAATCTTTGTCTTTTAACTAAATGGAATATCCTAAGGAATCAGCACCTACTTTCTTGTCCAAGCGTTCACATATTTCGATTTCTTTCGAAGCACTTGCAGCCAAAAGCCCCATTATCATCGTTGCAAAGATAGTATGACTTGAACTGCCCATTTCGAAATCATTCAGAATTAACTCCGGACAGTAGCAAGAAAAACATAAAACTTGTTTACTTTCTGAACTTTGCAGGCTCTTCCGAAACGTGAATATTGAACTGCACTGGGCAGAGGCCATGCTAGATGTGCGGGTGCTTTCCAGCTCGTCAGTAAACTATTAAACGGTGCAAATATCAATTGAAAAAAGCAGGGAAAGTTGATGGAGAATACAAGTTACTGAACTCTTAGACGATCGTTACAACGCCGCAACTTATTTTTCACTTCAAAATGCGACCCCAAGCGAACTTTCCCTCGAAGCCTAACGTGCGCTCATCTGTTCAGTCAGGACCTGCTACATCTTATGAGTTTTAAAAGAGGCACTTGTGTGCATAGCATACATGCATGGAAAGAGAAATGGAAAACACAAACCCGAGAGCCGCCGCACCCTTGCCTCGCCTCGATTACAACCGCTCGAACAAACGCTCGCTTTCTGTACTTCCTCCATTCTACAAGCAACACCGACCTGTTTGAAGCAGCTGATGTTTAAGAACTGAAGGGAAACTGATGAGGATGCATGCTCGTTTGCATGCACATAGTGCACGCGGCAATTTATCATAAGGAGCCGAGGAGGCCTAGAGTGCAATGGCGACTTGTGGCTATCAACAAGAACCTGAATATTTTGTTTACTTACAACCACTATGTATATTCAATATTTTGAAACGAAATAAGGGGTCGATTCTTTAATTTTCTCTCTCAGGCCTCACCAGCAGAACGCCTCCGACGCGTAATGGTAATACATGAACACGAACGTAGCCTCTGCTACACCGACGCAACATCTCTGAAATGCACACACTAGTTTCCCTTCGTTTCTCAATAAGAACATGACAGAAGCACAACTGTTTACTCAGAGAAGCTGCAAATTTCGAATAGGGGGAGACGACAGACCGGTTCATCGCCTGTACACGATATTGAAACCTCGGGGAAGGGATGACAAATGAATTGTGCATATCCTGCGGCCCTCAACATCACAAGAAGAATATGTTTGTTTGAAATGCAAGTAATATATTCCAGATTCTACTGTTTTGAAAGACAACTCCAACGACGACGACGCTTCCGACACCGCAGCCAACCTGCAGTGAAGCGCAGACTGGGCTTTTGCATGCAGTGCTTCGCTATTTTTCCGTCTGTTTTTTGCGAACATTTCTCTTTAACATTCAAATACTACTAGAAGCAACAGGAGTGTATCTGAGATGCCATGAGCTAGATAGTTAGACGCGCCTGCCTTATGAAATATGCAAGCGCTGGCGTCTGCACTCTGCGCGTTTGGTCCGGGGGTTTCTTTTGATGATCTGAGGGTGAAAATGGTATGTTTTGCAACACTAAATTATAATAATTCTTTTGAAATGAAAGGATAAACACTGAGATTCATCGAGACAACGCTTTGCTGATTGCGATCCAGAAGCATCGACTGCGGATCAGCTGGACGCTTTGCACGGGTATTGGAATTCGCTCGTTTGTCTCTCTTCTTTTTCTCATCATCTAATTTCTTTTTGTGTATTAACATCAACATTTATTCAATTCCTGAGATATATACAGCCTTTAGACATCAGAAGAACCTTCTTTTCGATGCCAGAGCAGCAACAAGACGGCCTCATGTTCACACGCTCTCTCTCTCTCTCTCTCCTTCGATACTGCTTGCCCGCTGGGTGTTAGAACAGCAGCAACAAAGGAGTTGCAGCAGCAGCACACTGGGTTTTGAGCTCTAATTCAGCTAAACTTGCACACAAAGGTTTGGTATTCTTTGTCTATTCACAAGCGTCAGTGCTGCCGCCGCTGCGCTGCTGCTGCTGCTGCTAGTGGACAGCACTCCTCTGCTAGAGTGCCCATTCAATCAGAAGAGGCATGGTCTCTTCGTTGTTGTCTCTCGTTTTTTTCTGACGATTTTAAGACGAGTTTTCTTTAATTTCTTCTAATCTAAGTATATTTAATTGCAGACTCCGCTCATCTTCCCCGTGCGACGCGAAGGGAGGCTCTTCGATACCTTATCCTTCTGTCGAGACACTTCGCTGCCGGACTCTGCAGCTTGGGTCTCTGCTGGGGTGTTTGTGTTTGTTGTTTTTTAATTATTTGTTTTTAATAAAGACATCTGCGTAAGATTTCGAGGGAAGGTACTATCCCGTTGGATTCGCAGCAGCAGCAGCAACAACAACAGCAACAGCGCAGCAGCAGAACAGAGCATCAGAGCAGCAGCAGTTGAAGACCCGGGGTTGTCCATTGGTTGGTATTCAGGTGACTCTTAATTCGGGTGTCTATACACATGAAATTATCTTCCCCTTTTAAAGAGAGGCTTATCGGGATACGACTCACACTTTCTTCCCCTTCTTCGCACACCTGCTCGTGTGCACGGAGCAACGAGAGGTGTATAGACGTTGGCTTACCTCGTCTCTGTTATCCTCTTGATTGATTTTATCGGACTTCATTTTATTTTGCATTTATTCACTTATCTGCGTGCAGGTGGGGCTCGTAACATCCTGATGCCTTTCTCTATATATGGGTCGTGTTGCTGTCTTCGAAGTTTGTCTCTACTTTCTTTCTTTTTGTATCTGTATTGATGCCTCTCCGTTAGATGGAGTAGCCCCTTAGAATTCCTTTTGTTTGTTTTTTAGCGCTTTGTTTGGTCGGGTGTTGCGTAATTAGTAGTCCGTTTCTTCTCTCGGGGGTCTCTTTGTCTCTGATTCTGATGAGAGGATTGCTTGTTTGTCTCTGCTTGTTTGTTTCTGCAGCGAGCTGCAGAAGCAGCAACACCTGAGGCAGCGGCAGCAGCAACAACAGCAGCAGCAGCAGCAGCACCAACCGAGGCGGTAGCAGCAGCAACGAGCCCCCCAACTCTTTCTGCGACCCTTTGTGCCGTCCAGTGGTTGGGGTGAAGTTGTGCTGCAGTCTTAAAGTGTGGCTGCTGCCTGAAGTTATTATATTAAACAGCAGTTAGGATTGTTGTAAAGAGAAGAGTGGAGGGAGGAGGCAAACGAAGGGGATTGTCAAACAAACCAGAGAAAGGGACGGAGACAAACAGACAGAGACAGAGAGACAAAGACAAAGACAAAGAGAGACAAAGAAGACGGAGCAGCGAAAGACAGAGAGAGAGAGAGAGGGAGGGAGAAGGAGAGAGCTACAAGCTGAGAGAAGAGACAGGCTGTCGAGAGGAGCTGGTGTTGAAGCAGCAGAGGGGAGGAGACAGCTCGAAGACGAGGATTAGACAAGAGGAAACATAAAGGAGGAGAGGAGACACCTCGGAGATGCCGGTGGAAGAGACAGCTGAGCATTTTGCATTGGGGGGGCGGAGCCTCCTGATGGGCGTTGATGACTGGAGCTTCCTTTCAGGTGTATCAGAGAAGACAAGAGACAGTTTAGAAAGTAATAAACAGAAACAACAGGGAGACAGCAACGGAGATTTCGCTGCAAGTCTCTGCACACCTAAACCCCCTACGCCCTTCGCAGCATCCAAAGGGCACCTGCAGCAGCAAACAGCAGCAGCAGCAGCAGCAGCAAAAGCACCAGCAGCAAGTGCAGCAGAAACAAAAGGTAGTGCTTCTACCTCAGGTCGTCGTGTTAACTCTAAGCGGCTGCCAGCTGCTGCGAATGGGCAGAGAAAGAGGGCGACCCCGTGAGCGAAATGCAACTGTCTCCTCTTGCTTTTTTCTCTCTATTCTTGTGTCTCTTCCATCCCAACTGTCTCCTTTCTTGTTTCTATTTACTCTTGCGGCCTTTGTCTTGCGCTTTCATTATCTTGTCTCACCTCTCTCTGGTGTCTCCTTCCTCTGGTGTCTCCTTCCTCTGGTGTCTCCTTTCGCGGGTGTCTGCCTTCTCAGGCGCCGCCCATATTGTATGCCGCGTCATTGATGTGCTTTCGTTCTCTCGTACCTCCTCTCCCTCTTCTCTTTTTAGTCGTGTGTCTCCTTCTTCTTGGTGTGTCTGTTCTGTTGTATGTTATTCTCTTGATATGTGTTTTTTTGTCGTATGTCTTTTTTGTCTTGCATCTACTCTCCGATCTCCTTCAAGTGTCTCCTCCATTGTATGTTTCTTTGTCTTGTGCCTCCCCCTCCTTTTGTCTCCTTTGTCTGGTGTCTCCTGTATGGGCTGTCTCCTCCCACCGGCTTGCTATATCTTCGGAGTCTCTTTTCTCTTTTGTGTCCTCATTGTAGTGTCTCCTTCCCTTCTTCTTATGCCGACGTCAGAGGTTTTGTTGCTCCTTTGGGTGTACACAGCAGCAGACTGCAGTTTTCATTGCTTGCTTGTCTCTCTTGTATGTCTCTTCGACATCCCCTCTGTCTGTCTCTCACTGACCTGCCTCCTAGGAAACGATGTTATGCTTGTCTCTTGTCTCTGTCTCTATCTTTGTCTCTATCTTTGTCTCTGTCTCTGTCTCTATCTCTTTCTCTGTCTCTATCTTTGTCTTTGTCTCTATCGTTGTCTCCTCCTCTGTCTTTCTGTCCCTATCTTTGTCTCTGTCTCTATCCTTATCTATGTCTCTATCTCTCTCTTTGTCTCTGCCTCTCTCACTCTAAGTATAAATTGCAGCCTCCCTCTGTCCTCTGTGTCCTTGTCGTAGTCTTTCGTTTGCCGTTTTGCTTTTTTCTTCTTTCTGTTTGTTCGGCTGAGTTGTAAGGGTGGGGTTGCTGTAGTTGCTACGCTGCATGCGTCTGCGGGAGCAGCAGCAGCAGCCGCAGGCGTCGCAGCAGCAGTAGCAGCAGTATAGCTGCTGCTGTTTGCGTTGTTTGTTTTTGTCTTTAAGGGCGGCTACTTGGGAGAGAGAAAGAAGAAGAAGGTGCTGTCGGTCTGCGGTAGCAGGTGCTGCTGCTCCTGCATCATCAGCTGCTGCAGATGCCTCTGCTGCAGCAGCCGCATCAGCTGCGGCTGCTTCTACTGCTGGAGGCGCTCCAGCTTCTTCCGTGGGTTGTTCCGCGGCTAACAGCAGCAGCAGCAGCACAGGTAGCAGCAGCAGCGGCGCAGGCAGCAACAACAACAGTGGCAACAGCAGCAGCAGCAGCAGCAGCAGCGGCAGCAGCACGTACGCATTGCTGCTGTCTGCTTTGCCTAAGGTAACAGGCGTTTTCTTTGATAGAAGCCAGGAGCGATGGGTGTCTTCAGTTTATGCAGCAGGAAGAAATATGAAGTCTTACTTTCCGGTGTATAAACACGGGTTTCTAGAGGCGAGGCATTTAGCTATCTTACAGCGCATCTCTCAGGTTGCACTTAAAGGCAGAGCAGCTGCTGCTGAGCCTGACGCTTCTTCAGCAGCAGCAGCAGCAGCTGCTGCCGCTGCTGCTGCTGCACCTGCTGCTGCTGCAGCTTCTGTTGCTGGAGGTTTGGAATTTGATACGCTGCTCCAGCCCCTCGCGAACTCAAGGGAGTCTGCTGCACGTCCAAGCAGCAGCAAAGACCTGTGGGGAGATGGTCCTGCTGCTTCGCATGCAGCAACAGCAACAGCTGCAGCACAGGCAGCAGCAGCTGCAGCTACACCAGCAGCAAGACATCCGGAAATAGAGGGGCAGCGCGGTGGTGTCTCTTCAGTTGAAACCTTTGCACACAGACCGGGGGGACGTGCGGCTAGGCAGGAGACAGAAGAGCAGCAGCAACAGCAGCAGCAACAGCAGCAGCAACAGCAACAGCAGCAGCAGCAGCAGCGAACAGCACAACAACTTCTCTCGGATTGCGTAGGCAGCAAGGCACTCCTTCAAGGCCAGGAGTCTCTCGACAGTCAGACGGATATCAACTTCAGTGAGCGCATAACAGCAGCAGCAGCAAAGGCAGCAGCAGCAGCAGCAGCAGCCCAGGAAGCAGTAGCAGCAGGGGCAGGTGTAGCAGCTCAGGCAGCAGTAGCAGCAGCAGCAGCAGCACATGCAGCAGAGGCAGCAGCAGGCGCCATCCGTCGCTTTCTTCGTTTTTCTTCCAATGGTGTTTTGGGGGTGGGGTTGGGGGTTTAAAGTAGTTAAACAAAACAAAGACAGAAAACAGCACACACATTATAATATTTATATATATATATATATATATATATATACGCATATGTATGCATATGTATCTATCGGTCTAGGCTCACCCGGCTTGCATGCTGCTTGAGTGTTTTATATTATTTAGTTGTTTATGCATTATATTATTAATTTATTTATAAATTTATTTGTTTATTTGTTTGTTTATTCTGCGTTTAGCGTTGAAGGCGTTGGCGTTGGACGCATCTTCGCGCAGCTCTGTCTTCGCGCTGTCTCCTTCTCTGAGTATCTCTGCATCACCGCAGGCAGCAGAGGGCTTTTCTTCTGTGGATGCTGCTGCTTCTGCTGCTGCTGCTGCTGCTGCTGCTGCTTCTGGTGGTGGTGGTGGTTCTGGTGGTGCTGCTGCTAGTGCTTTGTCTTTGCCTCCCGGCTTGCTGCGAGGGAGACAAAATAGCAGCAGAGAAGAGTGGAGTTGCTTGCTGCAGCAGCAGCAGCAGCAGCACGGAGACAGCAGCGCTGCTGCTCTCTTTTCTCGTTTCCTTGGCTATGTAGCAGAGGACCTCAGGCCGTGGGAGAGGGGCATCATATGGATAAACAGCAGCAGCTGCAGCAACCGCTGCAGCACCAGCAGCAACACCAGCTGCTGCTGTTGCTGCAGCGGCAGCTGGCTCGTAATGCAGCCCAGAAGAGGTCGCAGCGGAAGACAGATGGAGACGGTTGTCTCCGTTGATATATCAGAGACGTTGGAGGAGACAGTACAGGTGACTCTCAGCTGCTGGCAGGCGCAGAAGCAGGAAAAGACGAACGTCGCAGCTAACCGCAGCAGCAGCAGCAGCAACAGCAGCAAGGTGGGGGATGTGGCGCTGGAGCTGTTTAAGCAGGTGAAGGACCGCCTCTGGCAAAAGAGAGGACGAGAGAAACAGACAGCAGATGCAATGTCAAGAAAAACAAAGTCTGCTGCTGCTGATTGCAAGCAGCAGCAGAAGCAGCAGCAACAGCAGCAAGAGCAACAGGGACCGCTGCAGGGAGACGCGTCTTTGAGGCTGTTGAAGCTGGAAGGAGACGCAGATAATGAGGCAGAGGCAGATGGAGAGGGATTGTTGTCTCCTAACGTCACAGCAGCAGCAGCAGCAACAGGAGCGGATGGAGATGGAGCAGCAGCTGCAGCAGCAGCAGCAGCAGCATTAGCAGCAGCAGAGGCTGTCATGTTGGCTGTACGTGCAGCATATCTTCGCGCTGTTGATTTGTTAGGTAGGCCGTCGATGCCTCTACGAGAAGATGTCCTCTCTAAAGAAGAAGAGGGAGGCACTTCTTCGTTGCTGCAGAAGCAGCAGCAGCAGCAGCAGCGAGAGGGGGACCCGCTGCTGCATCCTGGGACGCTTGGCTTGCGGCCTCTGCTGCAGCAGCAGCAGGAAGAAGAAAGAGAAGCTGCAGCAGCTTCTGCTGATATGGAGAGTCAACGCGGCTGCCGCACATCAGCAGGTCGCAGCAGCCGCAGCAAGTCGAGGGAAGACAGCAGCAGCAACAGCAGCAGCAACAGCAACAGCAATAGCAATAGCAACAGCAGCAACGGAAACAGCAGCAACAGTAGCAGCCCCAACAACCTGCAACTCCTCCTTCGTAGCAACAGCAGCCCGAGCAGCATGAACAACATCAGCAGCAGCAGCAACAGCAACAGCCTGAGCAGCAGCCTCAGGAGCAACAGCATCAGCATCAGCAGCAGCATCAGCAGCAGCATCAGCAGCAGCCCAACTAGCAGCAGCACCACCATCACGAACAGCAGCAGCATGACAAGCACAACGACCACAACGAGCAGCAGCAACGGCGGTAGCAGCAGCAGCACGACAACAAGCAGCAGCAGCAGCAGCAGCAGCAGCAGCAGCAGCAACAGGAGCAGGAGTCGGAGCAGCAGACGCAGCAGCATGCGTCGTCGGTGTGGGGGGGCTGTAAGCAGCAGTGCTAGCTGGAGCAAGTCAGTGCTGACTCGCTTAGCTGTATCTCTAAAGCCCTGGCCTCGGGGTGTCAGCTGGGCTTCCTCTAGTTGTCGCTGGTTTGCTGTTGTTCGTCTGTCTTCGGGATGCCGCTTAGCTAAGACCTTTCATCCTAATACAAAGGGAGGAGTTGAAGGTGCTTATAAATTAGCTTGTGCATTCTTATTAAACTTTAGACAAAATATCAACACTGAAGACATACATCTACATAATAATAAAGACATCATGCAGCATACTCTCATGCATAAACTCAAATGCTGCACTACACCACATTCTAATGCACCTGTACACCAAGTGCAGCAAAAACAGCAGCAGCAGCAGCAGCAGCAGCAGCAGGAGCAGGAGAGAATGCAACAGCATTTGCAGCTACATAGACAAATACAGATCCTGCAGCAGCAACAAAGACAGACGCAACAGCAGTTGCATTCACATCAACAAATCATGCAGCAGCAGATCCGCAGCCAGCAGCAACAGCAGCAGCTGCAGGAGACTGCTGCTTCGGAGGCAGGTGGTGGTGCTGCTGCTGTTGCTGCTGTTGCTGCTGCCGGGGTGGAGACAGCTGACCAGCGGGAGACTGCAGCAGCACGAGAAGCAGCAGATGCGCTGCTGCCTGCTTCCTCAGCCTGCAGCAACTTGTTAGTTGCCTTGGAGGAGCTGCACAGCAGCAGCAGCAGCAGCAACAACAGCAGCAACAGCAGCAGCAGCAGCAGCAGCAGCAGCAGCTTTAGTTCAGCATTGGCTTCCAGAGGGAGAGAAGACCTCGAAGATGAGCTGGAAATGCAGTGGAGGAGAAGAGACAGAGAAATTGAAAGACAAACTCGCAGCAGCAGCAGCAGCAGCAGCAAACAAGACCTTGAACGACAGCCGCTGCTGCAGGCTAACAACGACTTAGGGGAGGCGGTGCTCTCTCTGAAGCTTCAAGGGTTAAGTGCAGCAGCAGCAGCTGCAGCTGCTGCTGCTGCTGCTGATAATGCTGCTGCTGCAGGCAAAGCGAGCAACGGACATTCTTTGCAAGGAGAAGAGAGACAGACAGCAGCAGCAGAGGAGACAGCAGCAGAGGAGACAGTTAAGACTGCTGATGTTTTTTCTTGCAAAGGAAGCACAAACAAAAACAGAGACGAAGAGGGGCTTAGGGTTAATGTCTTATCTTTGCTGCAAGCAAACAAAGATGCAGCAACAAACGAATTGCTGCTGCAGCTGCAGCAGCTGCAGCAGCAGCAGCTGCTGCAGCAACAGCAGCACCAGCAACAACAGCAGCATCAACAGCAGCACCAGCAACAACAGCAGCAACAGCAACAGCAGCACCAGCAACAACAGCAGCAACAGCAGCAGCTGCTGCTGCAGCAGGAGGAGGAGTGCAGGGGAAGCAAAGGGACAGCAGCAAAGGGCGTTGGAGGTTTATTAACGAGAATAAACTTTGACTTTATTGATGGGGTCGCGGAGACACCCGAGAGGAGACAGACATCTGAGGAAGAGACAGACACACGAAGAAGCAGCAGAGATAAGGGGGTGAGGCAGCAAATATATAAAATCAAATAAAATAAAAACAGCAAGAGAGAGAAAGAGAGAGAGAGAGACAAAAGACAGACGGAGACAGAAGAAAGAGAAGAAAGTAAACACAAAGGAGAGAGAGAGAAAAAAAAAGCAGAGATAAAAGGAGACAGATAAAGAAGCAGATAGGAGATATAAAGGACAGAGAGAGATATATATATAGATATATATATGAGACAGCCAGAAGAGGAGACAAAAGGAGACAGTAAATAATGCAGAGACAAAAAAAGAGAGAGAAGGTGAATGGAGGGAGACAGAAGAGAGAGAGGGTAAAGAGAGACAGAAGAGACAGACAAAAATAGACATAGCAAGACAGAGACACAAGAGACAGACAAAAAGGGACAGAAGAAAGAAAGAGTATCGGAATAGAGAGAGAGTATAAGGAGAGTATATATATATATATATAGAGAGAGAGAGAGAGAGTATAAGGAGAGAGCAGAGAGAGACAGAGACAGAGACAGAGAGCGAGAGTAGGGGGAGACAGACAAAAAATAGATATATAGAGAGAGAAAGAAGAGAGATAAGGAGAGACAAAAGAAAGAGAGATGGGCGAAGCCTTCCACTTGGTTTAGAGACAGTTAATTTATTCTTCTCTTAACTTTAGAGACACATTGTATTTATAATTAATTTTGTTTAAGAGGGAGTTTATTTATACTTGTGTTAACTTCGGAGACAGTTTATTTATTCTTCTGTGAGACAGTCGTTTGTTTATTTGTTTATTTCGCTTAGAGACAATTCATTTCTTACTAACTTTGTTTAGGAGAAAATTTATTTATTACTTTGTTTAGGAGACAGTTTATTCATAGTCTTGTCTTCGGTTTAGAGACAGTTTATTTCTACATATGTTTGTTGAGGAGTATTTCTTTACATTTACTTTCTCTTCGTTTAGAGACAGTCTAATGAATGAAAAGACAGAGAAAGGTATTAGCAGTGAGGCAGAAAATAAATTAAACTCCGGGTGTATTGACAGCACGTGTTTACGCATTAGTATATATATATATATACATGTATGTGTGTGTATGTAAATGTATGTATGTAAAGTAGAGAGACGCATTATACGTATATGTATATATGTAAAAGATATATACATATATATATATATATTTATTTATTTATTTATGTATGTTTACATACATACAAATTTTGTATGTAAATAGATAAGTGCAAATATATATATATATATATATATATATTTATGAAGTCTTTCGGCTTACCGTTGCATGGGTAGGTGTATGCAAGCATTATTTGTGTATTTGTTTATGTTTAGTTTGTGTTTGTTTGTTTGTTTGTTTGTTTTTGTTTTCTTTAGAGGAATAAAACAGAAGAAGAAGAAGAAGAAGAAGCTGCGCTGTCTCTGCAGCGCGAGTTGGTGTTGAGGTGTCTGCACGATTTGCGCAGTTGCAGTTTTTTGTTGTTTGAAGCTGCTTCATTAAAAGAGAGATTAGCTTCTGTAGATATGCATTTGCAGTGGGTATCTAGAGCGCGTGCAGGCAAACATATTCGAGTGTATATACAGCTATTTGAACCCCTTCTTTTCTTCGGTAGACTCCCTAGTAGAATGCCTATAGAAACTCAGCGAGTGTTCTTTGGGGCTCTAGATGCATTTGCTGCACTTCTACGCCTTTCTAGTATATATAATAATAATAATAATCAACAAAGTCTCAATAGCAGCGATGCAGAACACAACCGATGCACACAGTAACACACTGGCTATTCATAAACCCTCTCCTCCCTTCCATTCGAAAAGACAAAACAGCTAGCTAGCTAGCTAGCTAGCTAGCGGGAGGCTAGCTGACAGTACCTGCTTGCTCATAGAACTCACGAGTCACTGGCTAGGTAGCTAGGTAGCTAGGTAGCTAGATAGCTAGCTATCTAGCTGACCTCATGACTGGCTAGCTGGCTAGCTAGCTAGCCAGCTAGCTAACTAACGGGTGGCTAGCTGACGTGGGAGTGGATGCATCGCATGCAGAAGGTTTTCTTTTTAGCGAGCTGCCTATACAGCTTGCGGTGTATAGGCAGCTCTTTGTGTTATGAGAGGGGCGTTCAGAGGAAAAGAGCAAGAAAATGAAGACAGAAGAAAAAGTAAATAAAGGGGGGACAGTTTTGTTGATTTTGTTTGTTTGGTGCTGTCCTCTCCATTGTAATTATAAGACCGCGATTCTAATATATATATATATATATTTACATATATATAATTTATATGTAATATACATATATAATATATTATGTACATATATATATATATATATATATGCATGTTATTTATAGTATATCTCTATATATATCTGATATATGTAATATATATGATATATAATAAATATAATATATATAATATATAATATATATACATATATTATGTATATATATAACAAACATAATTATATGAATGCTGCATTTACAATATATTTACGCAAGTGGAGGATAATTTGCAGTTGCTGCCTTCGGGTGTCTCCTCTGTTTTTTCTTTGTCTTTTCTTTTCTCGCTTAATTTTTTTTAGTTTACCGCTTCTTGTTTTGTTTGTTTGTTTGTCTCCTCCGGCTTGTTCTGCTGAAGGAGACGCGTTAACAGCAGCAGGAGCAGCAGCAGCAACAGCAACAGCAGCAGCAGCAGCAGCAGCAGCAGCAGCATTTGCAGCATTTGGTGGGGTTACTTGGGTGTGGTTTTATCAGCAAACAAATCGACTGAAGAGGCATCACGTTGTATGAAGCGAGCTGTAGCTAACGAGGCTTCAGACCCTAAACCCTAAACCCTAAACCCTAAACCCTAAACCCTAAACTCTTGAAGAGAATACGGGTATTCAGGGCGCTGCGGGCCTCGTCTTTTTGCTTGCAAATACAAACGAGTTAATTTTGTTTTTTTAATAGAAATGTTAGAAGCGTTGCATGCACGCCTTTGCTAGAGGTGTATATATATCTTACTTACTCTACTTTGATCTTTTATAAAGAGATATGTTTTTATTTATTACAAAAAGAATTTTAATATTAGTTTTGTTATTAGTATAATTATTATTATTTTATTATTTGTTTATTTGTTTATTCACTGCAAGAAGAATTTAATTGTTAGTTTAATTATTAGTTATTATTATTACTGTATACAGAGAATTTCGTTATTAGTTTATTATTAATATTACTATTAATTATTATTATTATTAATTAATAATAATAATAGTAGTAATTATTATTATTATTTTGGTTGATATTTTAATGTTATTATTTACAAGGGGAGTTTCATTGTTAATTTCTTAATTACAATTTTTGCTCGGGTGTTATATATATATATATATATATGCATGCATGCATATATATACCTATATATATATAAACCTATATATACGTATATATATATATATGTATATATATATATATATATATATATATACATATATATATATATATAT